GGGAGGGAGAGGCAGCTCCCAGGCTGGTCCACTCACTGTTTCTGGATGTCTTGGATGGTGTCGGGCAGCGGTAAGTTCTTGGTCTCGGGCAGGAGCAGTGCAGCCAGGCCACTGAGTACCGACACCACTCCAAACACCAGCAGGGGCAGCCAGGAGCCATAGACGCCTAGCAGCGGCACCAGAGGCCCCAGGATGGCTCCCCCTCGGGCTGCCACCTGGCCCAGGCCCACAGCTGTCATCCTGGGGAGGCACATTTGCCCGTGAGTCACACTCTGCCTGCCCAGTGGACCAGGCAGGGTGGACGCTTAACTGTGGCGCCCTGAGACCAGGTGGAAAGGAAAGCCATGGGGACCAGGGGCAGCTCCCCTCGAGGTGACAGCCTCACCTGAGCACGGTGGGGAAGAGCTCACTGCTGAGGATGGTGACACAGGTGAAGGCCGACCCCAGTGACCCCAGCCCCAGCACAGCCAAGGACGAGCGAAGGACCTCCATCTCTGTGAATAGTCATGGGATCAGCAGAGTCCGGGGTCCTCTATTCCCAGGGCTGCTCCCTGGCCTGTAGGCTGGTCTGTCAAATGTCCCCGAGTCATGCCTCCAGTGTCCATGCTGTGTCCCCAATCTACTCACCTTCCAGCTCCTCAGAGCCAGACGCCAGGAGTCCTCCTCGCCTCCCTTTCTCTCCCACCCTAATCTATGACTGGGTTCTGTGTTAGCATTATGGCTTTCCTGATCTCCCCTAAATTTCTACCATCCCATCTCTTTCTTCCATACTCCCAACAGCCTCTTTCCTGGGGGTCCTCTGCTGTGGTTCCTCGCTGTCTAGTCTGGTTCCACACTCCCCTGCCTGGGGGAGGTAAGAGAGGCTCCGCTAGCATGTCACATGTTTGCCTCCTCTTGCTCACCCGAAGCTGAGCTGCAGCTTACCGTGGGGCACCAGTATGTTGGCCAGGATGCAGAGTCCTGGCAACACCAGGGAGCCGGCCTGGCAGAGACGGCGGCCCAGGTGGTTGAGCAGCAGCAGGCTGCCTATCTTCACCGGGAGGTCCACAACCCCGACTAGCACTTGGAGCAGGAAGATGTTGCTTCCCAAGGCCTGCAGGTTGAGGGCCAGGCCGTAGAAGGTGAAGCCGAAGGCAAACCTGGGAACGAGGGTGGGTGGATCAGCCTGGGGCGGCTGTTCTTCTGCCTGCCCTGTCGTTTTCCAGGCCCATCTTGGGCACTGGGAGAGAGGGGCTGGTGGTACCTGTGGGGGAGCCAAGGAGAGAATCTGGGTGTTTCCCCCTCTCTCTCCGCTCGGCACTCCATTGGGGATGTTATCTCATTGGCTCTAGATTCCACCGAACAGTATCCCCGCTACAGAGTCTTTTCTGGGTGGCCTAGGCTTCCAAGCTGGGGCAATAGCTGGTTTATGCCTGGTGCCTCTGAACAAGACGGGCCAGCCTGTCTGTCTGCCTCGTGTCTGCCTCGTCTCTCCAGCTTTTCCACCCATGGCTTTGATCCTCCTCACTCAGTCTCTTCTAGGAACTTGGGCCGGGAATCCCTGCTCACCACCCCACCCAGCCTTGCTTGTCTCCTCTGGGACTCTGACTATAGACAGCAAGGTCCCTGAGCTAAAGGCCATTCTAGAGACATCTCTAGCCGGTGGCCCCATCCCTGGTAGGCAGCTGCCCCGGCTTCAGTCTTCCCCACAGCTGGTAGGGTAAAATGGCATCTTCTACCAGCACAGCATGGAGACGAAGGTTCGAAGGCGCAGCCCAGGCGTGTGGAGCAGGGTGCCGATCGTGGCGCGGGTTTGGTCCCCACTTGGCTCCTCCTGCGTGGCTGACCGCAAGACCTGTGGGAGGGGGGGCTGTTAGCACCAGGTATCCACAGGCCCCCTCCTCCAGGGGCCCTCCTTCGAGAGCCAGGGCCCTCACTTGACCTCCAAGGGAGCTCCTGTGCCCGGCCAGGGAGAGATCTGAGGGCCAGGGCAAGGGTTGAGGGAAGGCCCAGCTCCGACTTACCTCCATGGTCAGTGTGTCTCCCTCTGCCTTCCTCCTGTTGAATGCCGCTACCTTCTGTAGCTCCTGCAGACCCTGCTCCAGCTTGCCCACCGTGAGGAGCCAGCGTGCTGATTCTGGAAGCCACCTGAAGTGGGCAGGTGTGGGAGGGGGGCACTGATTGTGGCCCCCATTGTATCCCCCCCCAATCTGTTCCCTCTGCCTAAGGAAGTGTCTTCAGTGGAACTGTAAGCTCCAGTCTCAGGGCAGCTGAGGCCAATGGAGGCCATAAAGGACAATGTGGTAGCAGTGTGTAGCCAGGCCACCTAGATCACCTGTCTCCGTCCTCTCTGAGTGTGGGGGCCTCATGGTCTCTAGTTCCTGAGACGGCTGCTGGAGACGGAGGGACTCTATTGTCCCATCCCACCTCCTCCTTGTCCCCTGTCCCCCCAGCCTCATCACGAACCAGGCCTGGGTACAATAAGGACTCCAATGGCTGCAGAACTACAATGACTACCAGGGTATCTCACCCTCATGACATCTTTTCCCAGGTTGGGTTGCCTTCCTGCTACAAACAGCTTCACCCTCCCTGCTCAGGGCTCAGGCTCGGGCCAGTGTCTGTAACATCCCCAAGGCCCTCTGTCTGCTCTGCTCTGAGCCACTGATCCTTGGACCCTTTGACCCCATCGACCTGACGTTCCCTGGCCCTGCCTCAGCCAGCTCTGTGTCAGGATACGGCTGCTTGAGATCAACTCGCTCCTCACTGTGTTGGCACCAAACACAGGCCACTCCCTGTCTCACCGAAGAGATCTCTCTCTCTCTCTCTCCTCTCCCCCCCCATGCATGCATGTGTGTGAGTGCACGACACCCCCCCCCCACACACACACACTTACTTGCTGCACTGAGAAGTGTTCATCCCTCCAGGCCTTTGGTAGTGACCACCACACAGCATTGCTCCCCCTCCAGGCCCATGATTACAAAAGGTTCCCCCCCACACACCGAGGACATGCTGTCCCCTTTGAGCAGCAGCTGGGAGGAGCCATTTGTTTTATATCCACTAGGACCCTGAGCACCCCCTCCCCAGCCCTGATTTGAAGGACAAGGGGATGAAAGGACAAACAGAGTCCGTGATTCCCAGTGACCTGTTGGCCTTGGGAGACTTGGACAGTGAGCTGGAAGAGGCACCTGGGAAGTAGGCGGGAGGGGTCAGGGGTGGGGAGGGGTCAGGGGTGGGGAGGGGTCAGGGGTGAGGAGGGGTC